AATTTCTGACCTAACATGTCCAAGGAATTGCGAACCCAAATAAGTATGGGAACCATGTGACATGAATCGAGAGAAGTGGGTCAGGTGTAAAATAATAAATGACAACTGCCAATCAGCCCTAGCATAAGGTGTATAACAGGGAATACTGGAGACTGCAGCAACTGACGAGCAATTATCTTCTTGTGAATTAGCCTGCTTTTAAGTATTGGCAACCTTCCTGACTTGAGAACATGCTTTCAGTTAAACAAAACTCCTGCAAACTGGGTCAAGTTCAGGGGTCACCATTTGATCTTCTCTGTCCTACGTGGTGAGATATTCAAGAATAAGGATGAATTTATTTCTTCTTGGTAACCATGGAAACCCTTGGCACAATACATAAGTAGGCACTCATTCTTCTTTTCTGAATCAAAAATTCTTAACAAGCCATATATTATAAATCCAGACATTAGCTAAGAAGAAATACAATATAATGCCAGAAGTTCAACAAAAACTTTGCCATGATTTTTTCCCCCAATATGGAAAGTCAGATTAGGTACACATGAAATATTTTTGTTTTTGAGTAATCTTCTTATAATACTTGGCCTACATATTATCTGTCTCAGCGTTTTGTTTTGTCTGTACTGTTACCACACTTATTTTTATTATTCATTTCTGTGCTCAGCTTCTTGCACAGGTTAAATATGGCTCTTATGACCCTTGTTTTATGATATATGGTTTTTATCTGTCTGGTGCAATAATAGAAAACTTCCAATTATTCTGGGCTATTTTGTGTGTGTGATATGGCCAGAGACAGAGTTAGAAACATAAAATTTGTTAGACTAAATCTGAGTTTTATTTCATAGAAATTGGTTTTCAGTCTTACGTACACAATTGCAAAGATGATTAAAAAGTCTTTTGTGTTGAGTCCAGCAAATATTTCCCTAATTATTGACCTAGAAAGATCAGATTCTAAGTTGACTTTCTAAAAGCTCCCAGGAATTGTAGGTTTATATGATAAAATATTAGATAGTTGTCTGAATGTATGTATTTATAGAAGTTTAACTATGTAACCTTTTAGTCAGGTACAAAAACAGGTTAAAAGACAGCTTCTTATAGTTTCATTTTTTTCTGAATTTTTAATTATAGAAAAACAAACAATCAGTGGACACTATTAAGAAGTATTAGGGAAAACATAAATATATTCTGGAAAATTATTAGTGGATAGCAGGGAAGATTATTTTACAACCGAATTGAAAAATAGATCAAAATGCTTGGGATTATGCTACCATAGCCACTGAGAAAATAAATGTGAAAATAATAGGTGAGATATTGATGAATTATGGCAATAAGTATAGAATAAATGCTTTTTATTTGTTGAGGTATAATTTATGTAAGTAAATTTCATTATGCTTAGTTGAGCAGTTCTATAAATTTCAACAAATATACAGTCATATAACCAAACACCACAACCAAGATAGAGAATATCTCCATCATCCCCCTGTATCTCCCATTCCTCTATATTTAATTCCCTCCCTCTACACCCAGCCTCTGGCAACACAGATATGAGTTACTTCTCTGTAGTTCTTACTTGTATAGACTATCATATTCATTACTTGATAAAAAGATGCAGCCTTTTTAGTCTGACTTCTTTCACTTAATATATTGCTTTTAAGGTTCACAACTGTTGTTGCACATATCATTACTTTGTTCTTTTTTATTGCTGTGTAATATTCCGTTGTATAGATTTAATGCAGTATACCTATCTATTTCCCAGTTGAGGGATATTTGGGTTGTTTCTAGCTTTTGGAGATTATGAATAAAGCTTGTATAAACTTTGTGAGTGGGTTTTTGATTAGGCAAGTCTACTTTTCTCCTGGATAAGCAAATACCTACACACGGGATTGCCATATCATATGGAAGTATATGTTTAATTTTACAAGGAACTGCCTAATCAGTTTCCAAAACAGCTGTATCATTTTGGATTCCTACCAGTGTTGCATTGGAGTTCCAGTTGCATCACATAAGATATGGGCTTTTTATACATTTTAAGCAAGAATTGATTTCTTTTGAGTTTTTCTGAAAGTATATTACAAAGTAATATACAGCATTATATTGGAATTTTGTATTCTTTTTTCAAATACATGGTGACCAAATAGTGGCAGGTTAAATCAATTTATTTTTCTTTTGAGCTAACAGAGTGTTACTTTAAAGTGTGTGTGTGTGTGTGTGTGTGTGTGTGTGTGTGTGTGTGTGTGTGTGATGGTCATTTATATATCATTTAAAATTTTGGGTCAATAATTCAGGGTTTTCTAAATATAGAGAAAGATGAATTCTAAGCAAGTTTCTAGCGCCTTATTAATGCTTAAGCCTCAAAGTTCCAATGTAGTTGACAAAGTCAGTCCATCTTTATTTGGAACATTCAACAGCCCATGAAAAGAACAACTTAAATGAGCTGGTTTACTTTATAAAATTTCCAAGCTGATGATACCTCTAATGTAAGTAGAATTGACCTCTACAGATAAGGCAGGTCATTTAAACTAAACTGGATTTTCAATTGCCCTTTAAGTCATTCGGTAAGGTACTAATGGGATTTGGAGTAATATTTGGCTTTCCTGATTTCCAGAATGGCAATAGTGTCTTGCCTACAGTGTTTAACGTTTGTGTTTTAATATCCTTCCATACATTCTGGGGGAAAAAACCCCACCAGAAATGAAAAATGAATTTTCTAGAATAGAGGCACTTGGATCTGTTCCTTTTCAATGATCATTTTCTTAGGACTAGTTTTTTTGTTTTTTTAGAATAATTTACAAAGCATTTGGCAAGACTAAATTAAACATAGAACAAACACTGTAATGCTTCAACATTCACAAATTTGTTCATGAAGTGTGATTTGTTATAAAAAAAAAGTCTTTTAAAAAATGTTTAGCATAACTAACTTTTCTAACGAGACTGAGACTGCAATTACATTATATGAATTAGCAATTTTAGTATCTCAACTTTTTCATTAATTCTCAAGAATGCTCATACTTAAGGGTTAGCAAATTGAAGCTATTTTGGCAGAACCTTTGAGTGAGTTGTGTATGAGAGCAAGACCTAACTGTCTACTCTCTTGAATACTTCTGTGTCTTCCCATTGGCACTGAATTCTAGTAGAAGCAATATCAAAGTGCTTCTCATGTAGTATGAAGTGTAAATTACAGTAGAGATAAGCTTTATGCAAACAGCAGCCCCTCAGACGTGCTACTTACCTATGTGACCCACTCAGAATTCTGTAACTTTCATAGGTGTCCAATTATTTAATATGTGACCATATAAAGACCAAAAAAGAAACACTTTGGAACATTTGCGCTTATACACTAGAATGGAGCTATAAATGTGTATATATCTCTAAAGTTGGTTTACAGATAGTTGTATGTGCGACAACTGCACTTTTCACAAACTTTGATTCTTATATCAATTTCCTATCCCCTCTCATTAAGAAACGAATGACTATCATGAGCTGTATGGCCAAGTCAATAGTTTTTTTTTTTTTTAAATCCTCATTTTTTTCCTTTTTCTTACAGTTTCTTCTGAACCGTTTGTTAGCATGTTCTATGCTGTATTGCAGTGAGAAATACACATATTGGTCCAAGTCATTTATTAGTAATTTATTTATCTTTGTTTATGTCTTTTTCCCATTGTTCACTTAACTACAGAGTCCTTTTTACTATGGTATGTTCTTTCAAATACTGACTGCTGATGCTGAGTTTTTCTTATTGGGAATAATTGTATGGTTTTGTATTAAGCATTCTTTCACACTTTTGTTTCCTCTGCCCATAAAAGGTCTTTCACTCATGATATTGGTGAAAAAAGGATGCATTTTACTGTCCAGGCACTGTTAAGTAGACTGTATTTGTCCACTAGTTATATGCATACACCTTTCCCTAGTTACTTAATTTTCTTTGTGCCAAATTGGGGAAAATAACCTGGCAACCGTCAAGAAAGAGTTGCAAGTTTGGGGAAGATGTCCAGAGATTTGAGATCAGTAATTTGACCTTTTAAAACTCTCTCCTTCAAGCATGACATTAGTAAATAATGTACATGATAACTTTTAATGAAGGATAGAATTTGAAAATGAAATAAAAGTTCAACTCCCACATACAGCTTTTGTGAGAAAAAATGAAATGGAAACATTTGGTCATATATTAGTGGAAAAAAAGGAACTTGTTTTTAAAGTTTGAATTTGCTGGAAGTTCTTCATTATGAAATTATGGTGAGACTCCTAGGAAGTATACAACATATTTGCATAAGTATTAAAATAATTCATCATGATTAATTCTATTAGAGTAAATCTTCACTCTAATCACAATCTGCCATATACTATAGTGGTTTGTCAGTATTTCATATTTTACGGAAGTTTTGGTCGAACTGCAACTCCTGTAACAGCACAAATGTCATCTGAGTTCACTGTGATTAATGTGGCTCTGAAAAAGATCTAATAGCGATTAGCCAGTTTCGTAAAGTGTTACAGAATAAGGTCTGTGTGAAAAAATTTTGAAGTCATTAAAACATAGCTTCTAGCAAGTTACTCTGGTAGCAAATTGGGTTTCTAGAAGGATGAGGAGTTTTAACGTGGAAAACAGATGACCTAAGAGGAACAGGGGGCAAATACCTGCCTTCAAATATTTTAAGGATCAGAGAAAAACAAGGCAAATCTAAAACTAATGGTTGAAAGTTATAGGGTAGTAGATATTAGTCTGTTGTATTAAGATTTCAGAAAATTTAAACTTATGAGAAACAGAATGAGCTCCATTGGCCTAGTGAATCCAATAAGGTATTGTTTCTGTTCAGGGAAATATGAAAGGTAAGATGACCTCTTATGCAGACTACTGCGAAGTGTTTTTTTTTTAAAGGTTCAGAAGAGGATTGGTTATCTTGGGGTAAATTTTAAATTCCTTTCAACCACAAGTTTCCATTGCTTAATTTCCTTCATCGTGTCAACAGATTTTTTATTCATTTTATTTTTATTTTATTTTATTTTAGATTTTAGTGGAGGCTTCCGTGGGAGATGGCTTCACTGGAGATATTGCAATTGATGATTTGTCATTCATGAACTGTACCCTCTACCCAGGTAAGAAAGAACACTTCAATGTAGGAATATTTCCCAACCAGTTTACTTTGAAAAACTGCCAACAAAATCATTATTTCATTTGTACAAATATTTTGGAAAAATGCCCTCACTTTTATTCTGTTTCTCAAATCTATTAAGCCTAGGAAAGATTGTTGTAGATCTTTGCTAGTAATTAGTTTTAGAGTGTTTGTAAACATGGTAAAGATATTTGAATTTGTTATATCTCTGTCTCATTACAAATAAAGTGTTAGGAAGTCGCTTCTTATCACACACAAAATGCTAGGAACTTCATTCTGAAGTTAAACTGCAATTCCATTATATTTGAAAGATTATAATAACTAAACACATTCCTTTATAATTGTGTTGTGTTGGAGATTTTATTCATCTCTAACTTCCCAGGTACCTTCATTGATATTTTACTCTTGGACCACATGGTAAATATTTCTAAGATTGTCGTCAACCATTTTCTCTCCATATTATGGGTTTATAGCTATTTTAAAGAAACATTACATGTTTCCCAGATATATATCTCTATCCTTAAACTTTCCCCTAACTCCAGACTCATTAACTACTCAAACAACTCAACCTGGATGTCTAATAGGCATCTTAAAGAGAACGGTGGAAAGTAACTTAAAATAGGCTTTGAATAGTGTTACCAGGGAAAATTCATTCTGGGCAGTGCACAGTGATCTAGTAAAACTGGATACCAAACCCATGGAGGGTAACCCTGGCACTCAGATGGAAGGCTTTTAAAGTGCACGACAAGAGGGAATACAGCCTCCTCCCTGAAGTGATCAGAGACTGGGACCCAACAGTACCTTTCAATTGTTGAAAACTCCATCATGGTCCATAACCTTAGTATCATTGAGCAGAAGAGCTCTAGCTCTGCCCCAGGCATAATCAGGGGGCTCCATTCCAGTCCTTCAGGTTATAGCTATGTGACACAGTTCTGATACTCCCCTCCACCTCAGTATTCTAAAGGGACTGATGGCCTTCATTACTCTGTGTAGTGGTTTTCTTTTCTTTTCTTTTTTTTGAGTCGATGTCTCACTCTGTTGCCCAGACAGGAATGCAGTGGCACATTCATAGCCACCTCAGCCTTGACCTGCAGGGTTCAGGGAATCCTTTTGCCTCAGCCTTCTAAGTAGCTAGAACTACAGGTGCACACCACCATGCCCGGCTAATTTTTTTGATTTATTGTAGAGATAAGATCTCACCAAGTTGCCCAACCTGATCTTAAACCCCTGGCTCTGGCAATTCTCTCACCTCTACCTCCCAAAGTACTGGGATTACAGGTATGAGCCACCATACTTGGCTTGTGTAGTGGTTTCCATAGAATTCTACAGACAGCCAAATGCTTCTCAAAGGCCAGCAAAAAGGAAGTCAGACTTGAACAAGTTTATCTTTATTTCCCAATGTCTAAAAGTGAGTTCTAGATTAGCAATTGCCTCTCAATCCTGCCAATTCTCCATGCCTTCCTCTCAGCAAATGACAGTTTGTTCCACATTAATACATCTGGTCAGACATTCGCTTTGAATTTATCCAGAACCCACTACTTCTCATCACTTTCCCCTTGGTTTAAACCACCATTGTCTGTGTATGGATAATTGTAATTATCTTCCTGTGTTTGTCTTTGAACACTGTATTCTCAAAACAGCCACCCGCATGATCCTTTCAAACAGGCAAGGTCATGCCACTCTATCATCAGAATGTTTCTATGGTTTCCTCTCTCATTCAGAGCAAAGCTCAAACTTCTTCCAGTAGCTTCCAAGGAATAAATAAATGGCCCCTCCCATCTCCTCACTTCACCTTCTATCAGTGAGCATTTTCGTTTACTATTTCCTACTAAAAAGACCTCTTAGTTAATCTTGATCACTCCAGCTAATTTATGGTAAGGACTTTTTCACCTTCTTTTCCCTATTCCTGGAATATGCTTCTCCCAGATGTCCACGTGGCTTTCTCCTTCAGTTTTTCCTTGTGTCTACCCCAAAGTTTCCTCTTTAGTCAAGCCTCTGAACACAACACATAACCTCTTAGTCCTCTGGCATTTTCTGTCTCTGTTCCCTGTGTTATTTTTCCCCCCACAACACCTATTATCCTTTTAGTTAAATTTCTATTTCCCTTCCCCAATATTAGTTGCAAGAGAACAGGCATACTACCTACTCACTGCTTTATCTCTGATACCTAAAACTGTACCTGGTACATGGTAGTACTCAATGAATGTTTGTTGGATGAATGGGTGAATTAAGGGAGGAATGCCATATTTTTAGGTGTTTTTTTTGTTGATTTTTTAAAGCAGGATTTATTGAGATGACAAGAAAGCTTCCACAATAGGAGGGGACCCCAGGGGGTTGCCCTACATTATTACATTAAATATTACCGAAATATTAAGTGCTTCCATGTGCCAGATACTATGTTATGTGTCAATCAGCTTTGGTTGAAAGCCAAGCCTTGGTGGCTTATAACCACAAAAATTTACTTCTCGCTCTCACATGTGTGGGTTGGTATAGAATAATAATAGCAACCTGTGTATTTCTTATTCATAGATTTATATATTTCCACATTGCTTTAAGCTATGTATCTCTGTTCCTTGTGTCCTGCTTCTCTGGGACCCAAACTGAAAGACAAAGTCCCTATTTGAGACATTCTGTTGTCAACTCAGAGAATGAAACAAGAAGGCATACGAAAAGTTTCTATTGGGACATGGTGTACATCATGTCTGCTTATATCCACTTATTGCCTGTAAGTCAGAGCAAGTCATGTGGCCAAGCCTAAACATAGGCAGAGAAGCATTTTCCACCTACAGGGAGCTTGGCAAGGGCAGAGAATGTAGAAAATCCTTACAGGATAAGGAGCTGATACATGGACACAATAATACTATTGAACACTCACGTGCATTGTCTCACCTAATCCTATATAACCTCTTAAGAGTCCGTAAGAGTGCCTGGTTCATAGGTGAATAGATGTTGAATGTTGATTAGGAACAATGTCTTCATCGTTCCTATTTTACTGAGAAAACAGAGAAGGAGATAACCTGCTCAAAGACCCCCCACTATAAAGTGGCAGAACTCAGTATCTACTTTTTGATACTATAATATTAACCACTAGTATTACATTGCTCATTACATACACTAACCCTGAAAGAAAGAGGCCAAAATTTCCATTTTACAGATATAAACAAACTTAAAGAACACAAATAACCTGATGAAAGCACGGGAATGACAGGAATGAGATTTTACCCAAGCTGGTCTAATTTCCATATTTCCATGACCAGGGCTTTTCTTACATTGCCTCACCATCTGATCTTAGGGAGAGAATCATTGTGACCTCAGAGGCAGAAGAGGACAAAAAAGAACACAAAAAGAAACACGAATCATCGTTGAAACAGTTGCTGCCCCAATTATTCTACTAAATCCATCCTGAGGCCCATGGTTCCCAGAGAAAGCTAGAGGGCTACCAGAGGCATAGGCTGAGACAGGAAATATCAGTTACAGACCGTTAGTCCCAATTTTCTGGTTCAAGTTTTGGAAGAAAAATATGAAACTTTAAAAACTGTTTCAATTGTATGTTTTTGTATTGGCTTCATAGCAAAAGAAACTCTGGGTCAAAACCACAAAACCTCTTGAAGCCATAGGTTTCATAAAGAAATTTGAGGTAATTTTGTCATAAGATGAAACATTAAAATAAAAATTAGGATCTTCATTAAAAAATATTATTCTAAATGCGTATCTGTCAAATTTCCTTTTTCATAAGCATCATGTTGGCTGAGGTAAGAGTAGTGCTTGCAGGTTCACTTACAGACATCAATTTCCTTTCAATATTAACTGATTATTTGTCTATAGCAATTTTCCTCCTAGGCCAATAAAACAAAACAAAATAAAAATTAAAAAAACATGTACACACACACAATATCAACCTAACCCACAAGATGTAGGTTTCTACTGTACCCACACTTTTATTTTATAGAAAATGACAGAGAAGTAGATTTTTTTTTTCTGTTTCCTCCAAATCAACCTCTTTCTCTCATACCTGTCTTGTTATTTTAATGACAGTCAGTATTCTTCAGCAACCCAGGCTTCAACACTGCAGTCATCTTTGACTTTCCCCTTAAACATGTTCAGTTGCAAATCCTGCCGATTGCAATCCCAAAATGTTTCTCACATCTGCTGTCTGCTTTTTTTCTTTGCATCTGGTTGCAAGCGGTGTTCATTTGAGAGGGAAGCTTTTAAACTACAAATGTTTATTAATTTATCACAATAGTTGCTACACCATTGACATGGTGTCTTTTCACTTTGTCCTAAGACATATCATCATTTGCTCTTCCAGATTCCATCTCATTTTCTGACTTCTAGATGTTTCTAATTTAATTTTCTAATCTAATTCTGAGTTATACTTTATTTCAATTATTTGATGATGTTATTTTTCCAGCTTTATTGAGGTATAATTGACATATAAAATTATATAGGCATATAATGAAGGTGTATAATGTGATGTTTTGGTGTAGGTATATATGGGAAAGTAATTACCATAAACTAATTATCATACCTATCACCTCACATAGTTACCCTTCATCTGTGTGTGTGGCAAAAGCACTTAAGATCTATATTTTTTTAGCAGATCTCAAGTGTACAATACCTTATCATTAACCATAGTCACCAGAATTTTTTCATGTTGTAAGTGAAAATTTGTACACTTTAATCAACATCTCATTTTCCCCAACCCCTGACCCTTCTTAAGCATTCCTCTACTCTGTTCTGTGAGTTTAACTTAAGGTTCTACTTAACATGTGAAATTAGGTAGTATCTGTATTCCTGTATTCTGGCTTACTTCACTTAGCATAATGGACGTGGCATTGTTCTGAAGTCCTAACGGTAGGATTTCCTGATTTTGTAAGCTGAATAGTATTCCACTGTGTGTGTATATATGCCACTTTTTCTTTATTCATTTATCCATCCATGTATACTTAAGTTGTTACCCTATTTTGGCTGTTGTGAATAATG